ACACACACACACACACACACACACACACAGACACACACACACACACCGTCTGTTGGTTCAGCGCATCCATGAGGGCGCGTGCACAGGAGGACGCGGTCACGTGACGCCGAGAAGCGTCCCATTAAAGAAGCTCCTGTCCTGCGCGCTCACAGAGGAGGCACCGCGAGCCGGAACCGAGCAGGACGGACCGGGACAGACCGGGACCCCGCAGGGAGGGAGGACCAGAACTTTTCTTCAACTTTTCTACAAGTTAAACCCAAGAGTTCTGGTCCACCTCAGATCAGGACCACGATGCGTCCCGGACCGCGGTCCGGTCCAGCGCGGCGCGTAAAGACGCAGTGAGGATCTGAGAGCGCAGCGGTCCGGGTCCGGGTCCGGGTCCGGCCGAACCATGCCCCGGCCCGGCAGGAACACGTACAGCGAGCAGAAGCCTCCGTACTCCTACATCTCCCTGACGGCCATGGCGATCCAGAGCAGCCCGGAGAAGATGCTGCCGCTCAGCGACATCTACCGCTTCATCATGGACCGCTTCCCGTTCTACCGGGACCACACGCAGCGCTGGCAGAACTCCCTGAGACACAACCTGTCCTTCAACGACTGCTTCATCAAGATCCCGCGCCGGCCGGACCAGCCCGGCAAGGGCAGCTTCTGGGCCCTGCACCCGAACTGCGGCGACATGTTCGAGAACGGGAGTTTCCTGCGGCGCCGGAAGCGCTTCAAGGTGGGCGGGGTGCAGGTATCGGACCCGCTGAGCGGCACCGGGAGCCCGGACCCCCTGCAGAGCCACTACCTGCAGCAGCAGGCCAAGCTGCGGCTGAGCGCGCTCCAGGTCCAGGTCCCGGTCCCGGCCGGGTCCAACCTGAGCTCCGGCTTTAAGCCCCCCTTCACCATCGAGAACATCATCTCCAGAGAGTACCGGATCCCGGGGGGGCTGGCGGCCTTCCCCGGCGCCGGGTACCCGCTGCACACCCAGCTGAGCCCGGCCTGGACCCACATGTACGGCTCGGGGGTGATGGACCCGGCGGGCCCCCTGTCCGTGCCCGCCCCTGCGGACTACACGGCCTACGGCGTGCCGCTCAAGTCCATCTGTCACCCGGTGCCCATCAAACCCCCGCCCGGTCTGCCGGGACTTCCGGCCCACATCCCCGCCTTCCTGGCCAACTCGCCCCGGTCCCTGAGTCCCCCCTCCCCGCACACCGGTCAGAGCAGCCCGGCCGCCCCGCCTCCGGTGACGGTGCACTGACCTCTGACCCCCGGACCTGCAGACCGGCTCTGTGGACCCAGAACCTTCGGACCGGTTCTGTGGGTCCAGGACTTTTCTGTGGCTGTTTTACGTGTTTGATGTTTTTTTGATCAAAGAAAAAAAAGGCGGTAAAACAAGAAGTTTCCTCTTTGATGTTTGATGTTTCCGCTCGTGTTTAAAGAACAAAGAGAGCCGACATGAAAGAAGAATGTTCTGATGTTCTGCACTTTGTACAAAATCTGTTCACTATAAATGTTGTGTTGAAACTCGCTGCTGGTTCTGGTTCTGGTTCTGGTTCTGGTTCTGGTTCTGCATGCTGCTGCTGCCTCTGAACACCTGACAGAAACAAAGCATGAAGATTTTTTTATTCTGTTTTCTGATGATAAATTAAAATCATCTGGAGAAAATAACAAAAAAGAGAAAATCATCCCTGAGTCGATTTATTTACTGAAAAAATAATCAACGTTTAACTGAGGATTTATAAAATAAATAAATATAAAAATAAAAAAACTGTTTCCACAATATTTTCTTAAATATTATTTATTTTCCAAGCTGTTAACA